TATATGCATAAGGTAGACTGAAAGAAATTTTGCAGGAAATAAACTCTAAAACCAGCTAACATAAATCTTAGAAAGCAGTAACGGGAAAAAATAATAAAAAATACCTAGCAATACAAGCACAGAAAAAAGTGAGACACATTAAGAGAGAGGCAAATGATCAGATGATGTCAGACTACTCCAAATCGGACAGTAGGCCTTTTTTTTTTGCATTTTTTCTTGAGAACAAATTATTTCGAGTAAATAACTAGGACTTAATTCAGAGTCTGTGGGGCAACTTCTGTACTAAATCGGCATGAAATGCATAAGAACCAAAAAATCTAGCCCTGACAACTTCCTTATGACTATCAGTGTATTTTTATATTTTTAGGAAATAATTATTTCTAAGCATACATATCAAAAATGCATTTGGAATACAGCAAAAAGGATTTGTATTTCCACAGAAGAATGCACAGATTATGAGACTAACTCCTGCATGATAGATTAAGTTAAAACAACAACAGGAATCCACATAAACAGTAATAAAACTGAAATCAGACTAAAGCTGGAGTACAGCATTTACTTTCCTGATGCACGGATGTGCATTTTTACTGACCAGCAAAGAGATCTTCCAGGTTATGTTTTGTCTACATTCAACATGAAAATGGCCACATATAAAGAAAACTTCTATTTTATTTTTGAGAAAGTTTAGATAGATTTAGAATACCTTTACTGTTGTCCACAGACCAATTTAACAGTTAACACTTACTAAGCACAGTTACGGTTCCCTAATTCTTTATCCCAGCAGTGGCACTAAAGCAAGACAGAACTCCTGGGAGGGAGCCATTCGAGATTGCACCAGCTGGCAACATATCCTAAGGGACCATCTGTCATCTACAGCACCCTGGACAACCCTCTGGCTACTCCTCCAGTACATCCCTCCAAATTTAAAGCCTCTACTGTTTCTCTCTCCATGTAGGGGATTTAAAAGGAGTTTTTATTCTTTTCATAATAGTTAAGCAAAGCAAAGCCCATCTCAGCTAAGATATTTTATAAACTCTAATAATTCTCACAAAAATACAAGTACACAATTACACTGAAGTCATACTTGCTATGTTGTATAAATAACCAGAGAGACATGCACAGCTTTTCAGTCGCAAAGCATAAATGATACACAGTGAATTGACTTACCGGGCCAAAAGCATTGCTGTCAAAGCTGTGTCCATGGTGATCACCTTCCACCCAAATATGCCCATGTGGAACTTTCACATACTTCTTTTTGTATCCAATGGTTCTAAAAAAATGTAAAAATGGCTAATCAATAAGAAAAAATCTAAAATGTTCTGTTAAGAAAGTTAATATATTTATTACTTTGGAATATGCACATCGTTCCATAGTTGTGCAATAACCCCACACTTAAGTACTCTATACATCAAGAGCGCTAGTCAAGTGAACATACGTATAGATTTTGTATGAGCTATTACCAGGGCTGTTTGCTACACTGTTTTGGCAAATATCACATCACAACAGGGAATAAGAGACTGTTCAGTTAAATATAATTAAGGGATTCTTCTTTCCATTTCTGTAGTAACAGTTCTTTGAATTGTTCTTTGAACTGTCAGATTTTATCTCAGGTAAAATCTGATGGACATACACTATAGTCACGTGTAGACACATGCTGTAGTCACATATGGGAATGCTATTTTTCTGGCATAGTGTTAGCATACAGCTATTCATCAGAAATAATTTGGCATTTCCGATCTGGCCTCAGATTCAGAGTTTAGATTCCTGTAATGTTCATGACCTAGGGGTAGGATTTCTTTAGCTGTAACAAGCCACGCAGGATAAACTTAAATCTAGGAGAAGGTCAAACCCTCCAGAAAATGATACTGATGATTCAAGCCATACTCCGCTCGTACTGAATCTGTGCCTCAGCATGCCGTCATATTACAAAAATGACAAAACATAGGGCAGTCATTAACCTGAGATTCAGAGTATACAAAATTCCTGTATTTAGTTCCCGAGCAGCTGTCATTTTCACAATTCCAATCTGTCTTCTACCATACTCTTTTGGTTTCTTTCCGTCAGGTTACTGCTACACTGCAAGCTTTCATGCGTGGCAGTAATTTTATCTTGCATACTGAATTGTTACCAACGACAATGTACTGACAGACAGGACTATGAACTATATGACTTCTTATTTAGTACGGGGTAACTAAGTCTGTCCATACACAGACACTGTCTTTTAATCTAGCTTGTTGCCTCCAGCTGCTCAGCCCTTTTCATAATCTGGAAGATATGCCCCAAAGCAGAAGCAAGAACAGGAGCACACTCTGAAACTGAAGAAAGTCCGCCAAAGACAGCAAATCACCTTCACCAGGATCACAGAATACACCGCGCAACAAAGCTGATCAAGAACGTTCACAAGCGCCATTCCATCACCTCTGCTGAAATAAGCAGCTCAGAAAGAGCAACTCTGATGCCTAGATGTAACAGGAGTTTTATTCCAGATTCTGGTACAAATGTTTGTATTAACTTTGGCTAACTATCTCAGCTTTTTGTGCTCTTGGTATCCATTGGTCAAAATGGGAAGATCTTTTTTTTTTTGTGAGGATGTTATGAAGACAAACTAATCAATAGATTGGAAACCACGAAATATAAGATAGATAAGGTTTCCTCAATTATTATTTATTATATTATTATTTACTTTACAAGTCACAAAACCCAACCAGTGTTTTTTCAAACTGTTCTGGAGGCAGCTGAAAGGATGAGGCTGACAGAACCATGCTCTAATGGAAAATCCCCCTGCAATTTCTTTAGGAGACAAAAAAAAAAAAGCCTATTTTCAGAAAAAGAAACTCATACTTTCATCTTTCTTTAGAACAATTTCCTATTATGTAATATAAAAGGTAGAGTTGCTAAACCATTCAATATAAGAAATGCAAAACTGTCCTGAGTTGGTAAATATACAATTTCTCAAACACACACAGTACTTGTGTAATAATTTAATTGTGCTAAAAGAGTATTTTATTCTTCTGAAAATTATTTCTTTTTTCTTTTTTTTAGAAATATGACAAACAATACAATTATTTATGTTTTGAAGTTCATAATGTTTTTTTTGCTAATAATTTCTTTTATAAAGTACCATAGGAGACTATGTTTTACTAGAAACATATGTTTAAAAAAATATATAGGTTTAGAGAAGTTGGCCATTAATTCTGCTCTGTCTGATTAGACATTCTGAAAATTATTAAATTATTATCTTCTACCAGTGATAAAGACAAATAATAGCTCAGAAATATTTAATTTTCTCTTCTATTCATCTCACTGAATGCAGAACAGTTGATTATGATGCAGTTTTATACCTTTTCAGACTTCACACACAAAACTGAATTTCACCCAGAAGGGTGAAAGGGATTTGAATAGGCCTGCATAAAGCTAATTCTGCCAGCGTGTTTACATGAAGGATAATATTGCCTTTCATTACAAAAATATGTACTTGTATTTCCACAGTACCTTGGGGTTCACCAGCCACATGAAAGCTGGTGCTCATTAGGTGAAAAAATCATTAGTAAGTAATGAACAAAATAGAAATACTACAGTGTTTGCTCTCAAGCTAGCTCACTTCTTAGCTGGAATAAACCCTTTCTGGGGCCTTGAGCCCTTATCTTCTAAAAGCTTGTGCCGAGTTAAAATACAAAGTTATAGCTCCCAGCTGAATATTACTGCTTCTTCGAGAAGTTACCATTCTTCGCGAGTAAATTCTGAAAATGACTCAAATTACTAAATGGTTTAATATTTAAACTATTGATGAGAACCTCAGTCATAATAACAAAAACAGATCAGGCAGCAATTATTCATGCAACTCAGATTTCAGAATATGGTCTTTTTTGACCATAGTGGAAACTTCAGCCATCATACTTGGATCCATAGGGTGATGTATGCTTGCTGTTCTTGAGACTATGTACAACGAAAAATAACACGAAAGAAATCCAATTTGAAGCAAAAAAGATAATACAAAATAGCCAATATTTGCTATTGCAGTCAGCAATAGCAAATATCATCTTCTAGACCACAACATCTTTTTGGGGTGTGGTACTCCCCATTTCTCCTATATATCTCCACCATCTCAAACCATATACACGTGCTCTTCTAGAAAACATACCCACCAAAGAGTGAAATAGACAGACTAGTAGATTTAGGAGGGAATGAAAACCTCATAAACGTCAGAAAAATAATATGGCAGAAGTCAGTCAGTTACTGCATTTGCAACGTCTCAGAGCAAACAGAGTCTCCCATCCCCAAATAATTGCTTTCTTTATTATGGCTAGGAAATCTCTAACAGGAAAGGGAAAAGCCTTTGCGATATATACTTGGAAATAGAAACATAAAGTATAGTCTTAGCATTGCTATTTCATCTACATGGATTAATCTCGCATTTGCAGAGACCCAGTGAAATCAGAAAGTGTGTGTTCTTTAAGGTCTGAAATGAAAAAAAAAAAAGATTACAGAGTGCAGCAATTATCACTGGTTCTTTTTATTACTCCTAAGTCATAGGAAAATACGTATTTCTTTTCTAACTCTTGAAATAACCATTACAAACCAGAAAAATGTATTATAATCATCCAAAAAATGTGTCTTTTACAGTCACTGAAGAGAAATTATATAAAAATTCTCATATTGAAAAAAAGGAGATGATAATATACAAGATGTTTTGACTTAAAGGAAATAGAATTAAAACTGATGATGTTAATAAACGTATTAAGGGAATAGGGAAGAGAAAAAGGAATGGAAAAGAAAGAGAAGCAGTGATTTTAACTATTTACTTTAGTAGATAGGACAGATACTGCACAGATAAATCCTTTTGTAAGCTCAGCAGATAAATGCAAACTCTTCTGCCATTTCATGTATGAGGTGTATAAATCATCCAATTTTTCCCTTACACAGCAGATAATTTTTCAAGATAATTTTTCAAGTACTAGCATACCTGTGAACAGAACAGAGGCAAGAAAATTATTTTCTTAAGACAATTAGTTCAAAACGTTTGCGCAGTATTTGCATATGGCAGTTGCACGGGAACTTTGTGTCCGCTTTAGCAATACTCTTGCAAAAAAGTGCCTTTGGGAACACACGTTGAAATTTTAAAAGAAAGTTTTACTTGAGCGTTTCACTGCATGTATTAGAAGCAAACTACAGCAATAAGCTCATGTTACAGTAAATTGGATCATCCATTACCTAATATTGTTTTTAATTTTCAAGATAATTTCATTGTTGGATTACTCCACAACAGATCTATAAATCATTCATGCAAGCAAACTAGGCTATAGACTTCAGAAATCCATATTCAGTTAATGACAATGGGTTATTTTTAATTATTGTTGTGGAGAATATGTTCACTTTTTCTAAGAACAAAAACAACTTAGAGTTTTCTCTCCTATGAAGATAGCATAAATTGTTTCATAATCAAAATTAGTTAGTTATTAACACTGCCTCTCTCACATATGAATCTTGTAGAAATTAAATACTTTAATTTCCAGCCTAAGTTAGAATGAGGAGATCATGTGTACATACTATCCTGGCAATATGGCTCTCATTCTAAATACAGCAAACTATGATTCATTCATTTCACTAGTTAAACCTTTTAGCCAGACATGCTAAAAAAAAAAACTATTAGCCATTTATCTCTTTGTATAATCATACAAGGCCAAATTACTAACACACACAGTGCAACATCATTTCCAAGAAGAGAAGGTGTTGATTCAAGTCTTTTTTCTTAGGGAAACCTTTGCAGACAACTTCCATTCACTTTTCAGATCTGATACCATGCAAATATCAATTACAAGTACTATTATCAGAAAAATTAATAGAATACAAAATGAAAAATGACTTAGGAATCCTTCTGGCACTCTTCAACAACAACAACAACAAAAATCCTAAAATCCTCAAGTCACTGAGATCTAAAAATCAATTAAAATCACAATTACCTCACCAGTAATTTTGCATCAGCAGATTGTCAGAGGCCTTTACTACAAAAAAGTGCAGTGAATAACAAACGAACTGCGTACTTTGAAAATAATGCAAAATCTACTTTTCTTTCTTAAGAAAAGCCTCTTTTGTCTGAGTTTGCCTGTAATCTTAACCTCTTTGTTAGCTCTCATACACAAAGTATTTAATTAAATTTAGAAGATGACTGAATGAATTCTTCAGAGTATAATTGGTGTGTGTAATAATTAACTTAGTATTTATTAATTTCATATCCAGTTCATTATCATGAATTATAATTACAAAATGATC